CAGAAAACAAAAACAATACAAAATAAGAAACACAATACACTCACTAAACTAGCAAGACACGGCGAGACGAACGTAAGCACACATATATACGTGGCGACGAGAAAAAAAAGCTTGCGTCCATCCAGAAAATGGGCGCTGCATCCGAATGAGCCGAGCTCAGCGCGCTCAGCGCTCCTTCTTTTCCTCATTGATGTGAGTAGAACTTAGACTGAGTTAATACCACAAAACCAGGCAAAAAAATGAGTTTGCAGAGACTGGGACACTTGCACCCAATACGATTACACACACTCTTCCACACATTGCTCGGATCATATCCGGAATTTTCAAGAAAAACAAAAACCAGTGAAACGGGACAGTTAGACAAGCGAGCCACTGTGTTGCTGTTGCATCTGATTCTTGCAGTTAATTTCATTAGCTTATAGTGGTCAAGGTACAAACAATATGCAATTGTGTTTTAAGTCAGGAAACACAAGTTTTGCAATGGAGCGCAAAATGTTCCAGCCATTTCCGGCAACGAAGAATTGAAAAAATTGCTTGTGCACTTCGCACCGCGAAATCTGCGTAATTATTTCAAAGCTGCAGAATTCGATGAATTTTCTATACTTTTGTGCTAATGAAATTCTTATATAAATACGCATGTGTCAGAAGCAACAGCAACACTACACCGAGTCCAGGATAGTTCCAGAAAAAGTATCATGCCTGTGATTTCAACAGTGATATCGTTCGGTCCAGCCGCAGCTGCATGGATCATAAAAGAGGCCGGTCGACCCACGGAAGCACCACGAAGCTGCTCACCAAATACAGATACAGCTGATGCGTCGGCGATATCCAGAATGAATGGTGAACCTTTAAAAATTTAAATATACACTAAGTAAAGATGAAGTATTAATGCAAGTTTTGATGTTTGCTTTTACCTTTTACTTCCATTCTGTTGAACAGCACGTGGATTTTGTACTGTCCTGCACCGTCGGGTACAAAATTAACCCGATACTGCTGAGGCGCTTCCTCTTTGACGATTGATGGGATAAGACGACCGTGGCGCAGTACACTGACCTCAAATCAGATGTTTCAAAGATCTAAGCTTACAATTACATAGGATTCATAGATAATATGAAAAGTTCTTTGGCAAATCGTACCCAATACTGTAAAACAGCGAGTAACGATGCAAGAAAACAAGAGAAGTAATCAATTAAAGCGATGTCAAG